CTCGCCGGCGATTGAGCTGCAGGCGGAGGCGCAGCATACGTCCGGCGAGGTAGAGACGCCGCCTCGGTTTTCGCTTAAATTCGAACAGATTTACTTGTCCAAGCCGACGCATTGGGAGAAGGATGGCTCGCCTAGTCCCATGATGCCCAACGAGGCGCGCTTGCGTAATCTGACCTACTCAGCTCCGCTCTATGTGGATATAACAAAGACAAAAAATGTTGAGGGTATGGATCCCGTCGAGACGCAGCATCAGAAAACCTTCATTGGCAAAATTCCCATCATGTTGAGATCGACTTATTGCCTGCTCTCCCAACTTACTGATCGTGATTTGACCGAGTTAAATGAGTGCCCCCTGGATCCCGGTGGCTACTTTATTATAAACGGCTCGGAGAAAGTACTCATTGCGCAAGAGAAGATGGCCACAAACACCGTGTACGTCTTCAGCATGAAGGATGGCAAGTACGCCTTTAAAACGGAGATACGCTCCTGCCTGGAACATAGCTCGCGTCCCACATCAACACTCTGGGTGAACATGATGGCGCGTGGCTCGCAAAACATCAAGAAGTCGGCGATTGGACAGCGCATCATTGCCATCCTGCCGTATATTAAGCAGGAGATACCCATTATGATTGTGTTTCGGGCATTGGGCTTTGTGGCTGATCGCGATATATTGGAGCACATCATTTACGATTTTGACGATCCAGAGATGATGGAGATGGTAAAGCCCTCACTGGACGAAGCCTTCGTGGTGCAGGAGCAAAATGTCGCTTTGAATTTCATAGGTGCTCGTGGAGCACGCCCCGGCGTTACCAAGGACAAGCGCATAAAATACGCTAAGGAGATTCTGCAGAAAGAAATGCTGCCGCATGTGGGAGTCTCTGACTTTTGCGAGACAAAGAAGGCCTATTTCCTTGGCTACATGGTGCATCGCCTGCTGCTGGCCTCGCTGGGTCGCCGTGAACTCGACGATCGTGATCACTATGGCAACAAGCGTTTGGATCTGGCTGGGCCGCTGTTGGCCTTCCTCTTCCGCGGGCTCTTCAAGAATTTGATGAAGGAGGTGCGCATGTACACACAGAAATTCATTGATCGCGGAAAGGATTTCAATCTGGAGCTGGCTATCAAGACCAACATTATTACAGATGGTCTGCGTTACTCGCTGGCCACCGGCAACTGGGGTGATCAAAAGAAGGCTCATCAGGCTCGTGCCGGTGTCTCCCAGGTGTTGAATCGTCTCACATTTGCCTCCACATTGTCCCATTTGCGCCGTGTCAACTCACCCATCGGACGCGACGGAAAGTTGGCCAAGCCGCGTCAGTTGCACAACACCCTGTGGGGTATGTTGTGCCCGGCAGAGACACCTGAGGGCGCAGCTGTGGGTTTGGTCAAGAATTTGGCACTCATGGCCTACATTTCGGTGGGTTCACAGCCGTCGCCGATTCTGGAATTCTTGGAAGAGTGGTCAATGGAAAATCTAGAGGAAATTGCACCCTCGGCGATTGCGGATGCGACCAAAATCTTCGTCAATGGCTGCTGGGTGGGCATTCATCGAGATCCGGAGCAGCTGATGGCCACGCTGCGTAAATTGCGCCGCCAGATGGATATCATTGTATCCGAGGTGTCCATGATTCGCGACATTCGCGATCGCGAGATCAGAATCTACACGGACGCTGGCCGCATATGTCGGCCTCTGCTTATTGTGGAGAATGGCACGCTGCTTTTGAAGAAAACGCACGTGGAGATGTTGAAGGAGCGAGACTACAACAACTACAGCTGGCAGGTGCTGGTTGCCTCTGGTGTCGTTGAGTACATTGACACGCTCGAGGAGGAGACGGTTATGATTGCCATGTCGCCCTATGATCTTAAACAGGACAAAGACTACGCATATTGTACCACCTACACGCACTGTGAGATTCATCCGGCCATGATACTGGGCGTTTGTGCCTCCATTATACCCTTCCCCGATCACAACCAGAGTCCACGTAACACCTATCAAAGTGCTATGGGTAAGCAGAAGGCAATCGCATTGTTTAAATTATTTATTAACCATTTTCCCTTCTAGGCAAGCAGGCCATGGGCGTCTATATAACCAACTTCCATGTGCGTATGGACACCTTGGCGCACGTGCTTTATTATCCCATGAAGCCGTTGGTTACAACACGCTCCATGGAGTATTTGCGTTTCCGTGAGCTGCCTGCGGGTATTAACTCGATTGTGGCAATTTTGTGCTACACTGGCTATAACCAAGAGGATTCTGTCATTCTGAACGCCTCAGCTGTGGAGCGCGGATTCTTCCGTTCGGTGTTCTATCGTTCGTACAAGGATGCCGAGAATAAGCGTGTCGGTGATCAAGAAGAGAACTTTGAGAAACCGCATCGCGGCACATGCCAGGGAATGCGTAACGCTCACTATGATAAACTGGACGACGATGGCATCATTGCACCTGGCATACGTGTCTCCGGAGACGATGTCGTCATTGGCAAGACAATTACGCTGCCCGAAAACGATGATGAGCTGGACAGCAATACGAAGCGATTCGCTAAGCGTGATGCCTCCACGTTTTTGCGTAACTCGGAGACGGGCATTGTGGATCAGGTTATGTTGACACTGAACAGCGAGGGCTATAAGTTCTGCAAGATTCGCGTGCGTTCAGTGCGTATACCACAGATCGGGGACAAATTTGCCTCGCGTCACGGACAGAAAGGTACGTGTGGTATACAGTATCGGCAGGAGGACATGCCCTTCACCTGCGAAGGCTTGGCGCCAGATATTATCATCAATCCGCACGCTATTCCCTCGCGTATGACAATTGGTCATTTGATCGAGTGCCTGCAGGGCAAACTAGGCTCCAATAAGGGCGAAATTGGTGATGCCACGCCCTTCAACGATGCCGTGAATGTGCAAAAGATATCTACTTTCCTGCAGGAGTATGGCTATCATCTGCGTGGTAATGAGGTCATGTACAACGGCCACACCGGACGCAAAATCAACGCGCAGGTTAGTCGCAGATCGCAAATCCTTGCTATTAATCTTGAGTTAATCTAATGTTATTCTGTTGTAGGTGTTCCTTGGTCCCACCTACTATCAACGTCTCAAGCATATGGTGGACGATAAAATCCATTCACGTGCCCGCGGACCCGTGCAGATTCTTGTGCGCCAGCCCATGGAGGGCAGAGCCCGTGACGGCGGTCTGCGTTTCGGTGAAATGGAGCGCGATTGTCAAATCTCTCACGGCGCCGCACAGTTCCTGCGCGAGCGACTGTTCGAGGTGTCTGATCCGTATCGAGTGCACATTTGCAACTTCTGCGGCCTAATTGCTATTGCCAATTTGCGCAACAACACGTTCGAGTGCAAAGGTTGCAAGAACAAGACGCAAATCTCGCAGGTGCGTCTGCCGTACGCGGCCAAGCTGCTCTTCCAGGAGCTCATGTCCATGAACATCGCACCACGCCTAATGGTCAGCTAGTCGGGCGCCAACATCTATTAATATTATAAACATAACTTTGGAGCTGCTTGTGCTTCGTTTAGTAATTAATTAAATTTCCATAATTATGACGATCCAATAGCTACGAGCGTGTTTTGTAGACCAAGCAAAATTGATTGTGTCTTCTAAGTCCATCTCGCAAGTGGAGCAAATGCGTGTGCTGAATCGTAAAGATGGGAACGTGCCTGGGACACCCAAATAGTTGAGCGAAAGTCTGCATTAAGAGTTAACAAGCTGAACATATTTTGAATAATTTGTCGGTATGGCGCAGATTTTTCAAACTGGTCTTTTCGGTGCAGCACAACGCTTGTAACACATTGATGGACTCTTTTATTGGATTGCCTCAAATACAATGATACAAGATGATCTAAATAGGATATTATTCTCAATCAACCTCCGTAAGCGAATATATTTTATTTTTTATATCCTGAGGGTAGATCAGTTTTTTAGGATATATATTTTACCCTATAATTTATATGCACATATTTATTTCTGATTTTATATCATGATATATTTTTTTCCCTATAATTTATATACACATATTTATTTATGATTCTATATCAAAAGACCAAGTTTGTCTGTCCGTCTGTCCGTCTGTCCTGTTGTTCTGTCCGTTCAGGCAGTATAGATTCCAGAGTCGGGTAGATCGCCATGTTTTTTTTTTTGGTTGGTTTTTTGGTTTTTTCTGATTGTAATATTAAGGAAAAGATTTGCCTTATCTGCCCTACAACTATTGGTATTAACTTTTGATCGGTTGAAACTTTTTTTAATTCATTTTATAAGGGTCTGTACAGCTTAATAAGAATTGGAGATTCTTCTTGATGTGAGCTGTATTGGGCTAAACTTTGCAACAAAAGTGTATATCATGTTAATATATAATATTTAATATAATAATTTGCTAAGCACATTGTATTACTTTCTAACATTTTATACTAATCGAAGTCCTCTGACGACTTTGACGTCAATCATAATATCGTAAATCGTAATATGTCAGGAAGGGTATTTAATCTTCGTCAACGCCAAGATGACGGCTCATTTGCTTTAAAACACAAATTGCTTACCGCTTTCAGAACGGTTTTACTTTTATGTTCAAATTGTACCCAATATTTCCAAACTTGCACTATCAACAAACTTGTTTAGAAAGTGTATTTAGATAGCGGCTTGGAAATAGCTTTCCATTCATGGTTTTCTGTTGCTATTTTTGCTTTCTATGAATTTGACGTAATGTTTGGCCTGCGGTCTGCGTCGCCCAATGACAAAAGGGATTAGTTCTTTGTTGTCAGGCTGGAGCTTTGACTTGGCTTTAGTTGTGCCAACCAATTGACTGACAGTTATTAATTGCCGCTTGACGTGAACCCGGCGCGAAGTTGAAGTTGGCAGGGGCATTGTTGGGGAAGTGGCGCTGATGCCGCCGCCCATCATTCGGCGACAATGGCGGCTGCTTTGTTATGGATAATTGAAATGACATGTAAATCGTCGCGCCAAAGCGTGTCTGATAAGAGCTTTTCAGCAACACTTAAACAACTTTTGAGGCATTTATTTATAGCGGCTTATACATAACATAAAAATAATAGCGGACTGCATCGTTGGTGCAGCAGCCGGAGCTACCCGTCTCCCGACTACTTCTCGTCGTTGCGGAACACGCTGATCGCATAAAACTCAGGCAGTCGATAGACCTTTAAGCGCTCGTGACTGAATTGTCCGTTGGCACGTGCCTTTACAAAGAAGATGTCCTTCAGGCCCAGCTCCTTGCGTCGCTGCTCCTTCTCCGCGAGTCGCTGCTGCTTGGGTCGATAGCCCTCAGACTTGTCCGGCAGTAGCTTTACGAAGATGATGTCTCGCTCACCATCGCCTGCCAGCGTGCGTGCCTGGTAAAGAACCTCGCGTGACTCTGGGTAGATTAACAGAGGCTCAATAGGCAGCACCTCACTTGGCGCATTTGGGTATCCAACGAGATTATCGTCAAAGCGTGGAACTGGAGCTGCCATCGATGTGTGGGCGTTCAACCTGAAGCAGATGAAGAGCAGCAATGCTGCATAAAAGGGCTGTAAGTGGAAGGAGTCAAGGAGTTAGTCAAGACTACATTAAATCAAAGTGAATTAATCCCGAAAACCATACAAGTTCAGGGATGTGAGCACCACTTAAGCTTTGAAATATCCTTATATTTCATTTAACGACTGTTTGACAGAAGTTTTAAGTGAAAATATTTTAAATTTAAGCTCGTATATTTACATACATAAATACTATGCTCCAAAAGAGCAAGCCACAATATACAACAACAAAAATCGAAAATTTCTAGAGTTAAAGGATCAGTTTGGAACGTGCTTTGGTAATCCTTGTTTAACATTAACAAAATATGGAACTGTCAAATAAAATAGATTTAAATATGTTAACGTTCAGGGATTGCAAAGTAAATTTTTATATAATTAATTATTTTAAACTTGTTTTTAGGCATTTTAATTTATTATATTTAAGTATTTATACTCAGTATTGGATTGCTTTTTAAATTAGCGAAAAGCAATCTGAATATATCAGTTCAGATACTAATTAACATTAGATAGTATCTGGCCATGTCAGAGCATTTGTATCTGTATCTGTATTTGAACAATTTATTGTTGTTTGTGCAGTGGTTAACTTGAGTCCCGTTTGTCAATTACCGTTTTGAATTTGTTCAGCGGCATTTTGGCTAAAAAAGTAACGCTGCACGCTTATTAATTTAAAAGCAAATTGGATTCTAAATTTAAGCCGCTTTACGCTCTGCCAAAAATATAACAGCCGAGTGTCGACGCTTGGCTGACGCGATCAAGATTGTGCGGGTAGTTCGACTACCAAGCGCGACGCGCAAATGTTAAGCACAGACTGGCGCGCGACAAGGCCAGGTAACTTCATTTACCAAGTCCAAGTCCAAGCCGGAGTCAAAGCCGGCGACGTTGGCGTCTGCGCAAGCGTCGTCATCGGCGGCATTCTGTCAAATGTGAATTGTAAATTGAAGGTAAATAGATATCGGCTAAGCGAATGCTGTATGCTGTTGGGCTTGGGGATCAGCCAAGGAGCAGCCGATATGTTCAAATAGCATTAGCTAATAATATTATTATTATTGCTATTAATTGATCACTAGGTCGTTGCGGCCAAGCCGTGTCAGAAGGTTCAATGCTGAGATGTTGAGAATTCATCAAGCCAAGCTGCGCTTTTTCAGCTGCCCAAGACGGCAGCAGATGCTCAGCCGTTTACATTTATAAATAACAAGGCTTGCCTGTTCATTTTATGCTTTTACGCGCAATGATGTCAAATTTATTATTATTGCCCATGTATATAAAAAAAAAATGTATATATATGCATATGTATACATAAAAACTCACGTAGAAATGTTTAATTAGCAAATATTTACGCTACGCTGAAAGATTGGCTGGGTCTGTTTGTCTATTGTCTTTGGGTATATTATGATAACATTTCTATGTTTTGTGGTATTATTAGCCAAAATGAATGGCTACTGTGAATGACACTGATGAGTTTGCCTGATTGTTGATTGCAATTGAATCTTGCTTGCTGGACTTGGTCAAGCAGAAGCGTCTGTTAAATGTCAAATATCTTACGAGAATTTATGAATACAAATGATGTGCGAGCAATTTACAATTACGAAAACCTTTGAGAAACTTTGCTTTGCTTATATAAGTGGCATATAATTGATCATTACTGTAAGCAAATTGTTGAATATCATTATTATCATGATGAGAAGTGCTGCCTATTGCCAAGAGTATTGCAGATTGAGATTGGCTTACCAAAAATACTTTTACTTAAACACAGAACATTTTCTCTAATCAAAAACAAAAATTTTAAATTTAAAATTGATTCAAATTCTTTTGCAATCAAAAACAAATCACGCAAAATTGCAACTGATTATAAAACTTAAATTTGCAATCAATGTTCAACCTTACTTAAACTTATAAAATATATTTCTTTGACAGCATTTGCTATATTTGTTTTTCTTAACTTTAATTTATTTTTTTTCATAGAAATTCAGTACATTAGATCTGTAAGCAAGAGTTAGGATTATAAATTAATAGGATTAAGCTGAATGTACTATATTATTTTCCCTATTATGACTTTCTTACTCTTACTTAACTCAAAGGCTGAATCATTCTCTATGATATGTTTACGCACGTAAATTAATTAATTCTGTAAACTTTTTTTCTCAGTAGTTAAGCATCGTTATAGTTGGGAAAATGAATACCACATTTAATCTTTGGAAGTATTGGTTCAATTATTTTAATTAATCATACGCACCATGGGTTACAATGCTCAATTTGCTGTAAATCACTTTCCAGTAGCAAAACAAAACTTGTTTAACAACATTGAATACACTATCTAATGATGTATAGGCAGGTTATAGGAAACCATTCATCAACGAGCAACGAGACATGTGCCAACAAAGTAAAAATCAAATCAAAATAAACTCAAGTAATTGAAGTAGCAAGACAAAGGTAAACACACCTCTTTGAGGGGCACACCAGCTGACCAAGGCCACAAGCGAAATTTAATCGCTTTAAATGTGAAATTATTTCCAAATAAAAACAGCAAAGTAGAAATGAGCCACGAATTCAATTCGACGAAGCACATCACATAATCAAAACAGTTGTCGCTTGATTTCATTTTCGAGCGCACGTCGAGTACCAAATCGTGAGTTTATAATTGCAGCAGCGCATCTCTCATCTGTTTTGCTTACGGCTGTGGCAGCTGTGGGTGCTCCATAGAATACATTCAAACTACAAACTCACTACTCACTCTTGTATTTGATTTGTGCTTTCGTTTCGAATTCGTTTTCGTTCTTTTCGCCCAGAAGCAGACGCGCTTAATGAGCCCATTCGTATGCGTGCGGGGAGTCGTGTGAAAGGTGAATACTACTTATCGCATATTGGTCTGCCTCTGGCCTTACTTAGCTCTGGCTCCGGCTCCGGCTCCGACTCTGATGGTGCTACCGTTTTGCAAATGACACGAAAAGTGAAAGCCCATCATTTGCTGGCATCTGCTGGCGCCAGCATTAGCCGCATATTGTGGTTTATTTGTCTCGCCAAGCGATTGGACAACGAAGCTGAACTTCGAACTAAAGGCTAGTGACATTTGATTTTCGCAACTTTTGTGTATGTTGTGATTTTAAAATGCAAAAATATTTCTTGTTTTGTAAATAACATTAATAAACTATAATGGTTACGAAACTAATTTGATGGTCAAAATTTGATCTTCAAAGAGGAAAGAAAGCGATTAATAAGTAAACCGAAATTTTTATTCCGCTCCCAAAGCAATATCTGCAACGGCAAAGCTCTTCGAAATTAATATAACTAAATTTTATTTTTTGATTTATTTTTTTCTTAATTAAAGAGATACACAATACATTTTCTGTGTACTCGACAGATAACTTTTTAGCTCATTTTTCACTGAGGTGTAGTATTACATAGTTAAGCTTATGAGGTTGTGTTCTTTAAACTATCTTATAGTAATAATAGGTGTATCAATGAGGTAAATAATAACATTTTTAAATAGAGGAGGCGACTCATGGGCCCGCCTTCAAATTCCAATCGTAGCAAAAGTTTTAATGAATGGGGCTGGAAATGGCTCCTGCAGGCTTTAATGTGTGTGCTAGATGTTTAGTTCATTTGCATTTTTAATTGCAAAATAATCAACGAAATGAACACAAAGTATAGAATTTGTTCATGCAAATATTTGGCCAATGTATTAGTGATATCATTAATGATTTGCAGTTGAATAAGCAATTACCTTTTGGCTGTCAGATGGCTTAAATGCAAAAAATGTTTGAGTAACGAAATAACGAGTCCCATTTATGGATTAGTTCTAAGTGAAGCTACCGGGCTTAAACCGAAACTCTTTGAAGCCTGATTACCAACTTTGTATTTACCATAACACGAACCCTAAAAAGGATAAGCTTGCTAACGAGCAGCCGAAACTAAGCTTGAATCCAACTATATATTTCCCAAAAAATTATTTTGTTACTTATTGACATTGCGTAAACTGTTAGTATGAATAATTTACAATTTTAAACGAATTTAATCTCTATATGTAAAACTGTTTGTGCTGATATTAAATTATATTATATATTTATACTAGCGGGCATAACCCGGCCTTGACCGTGGCACGTATGTTAAAAGTCAACTTTCTCAAAAAGCTTTGAAAATGATTTTGAAACTTATCGGACGGTAAACAAACATATAAACGTTTTCCGCCAATTTACCAATGTTGCCCGTGGAATTTCCCAAATCTCTGAAACACGTATTCATTATATTCTTATGTAGAGCTTTGAAAATAAGTTTGAAGCAAATCGGACACAACATAAAACTTCGCACAAAAAATCTTTAAATCGCATTCCCCCCGAAGAAGTTTGAATTCTGCGAAAAGTGTGGAATACGTCTGAAATGATTTTTCTTATAGATCTTTGGAAACGAATTTGAGCGCGAAACGTCACCCACCAAATCTTTGACCTCCATTTCCACCAAAGAGGAATGGATTTTCCTAAAAGTGTGAAGTACCCCTCAAATGAATTTGAACAAAGATCTTTAAAAATAAGTTTGAGGCCGATCGGATGGTAAACAAAAAAGTTACATACAAACGTTTTTCGCGATTTTTCCACACTTGCGGGTGGAATTTCCCGAAACCCCGTCTTAACGTGCATCTACATCACATAAGGTAGCTACAGTGAAAATTTCAGCTTCCTAGCTCTTACGGTCTGGGCTGTGCGTTGATCACCAATCAGTCAGTCAGTCAGGACAAACAGTTTTATATATAGAGATATATATATATATATGAGCGATAAGACGGGAATTTGGCAATTCCACCCGAAAGTGTATAAAATTCGCGAAAAATGGTTTCATAAAACTTTTTTGTTTAGCATCCGATTGGCCTCAAACTCAATTTTCAAGTTATTTATACCAATTTTTTTTGAGTTGTTTTTCAGTTTACAGAAAATTGGATGGAAAATGCAAGTCAAAGGTTGTAATAAAAGTTGCAAAGAAAGTTTATTTTGCGGCTAAAAGCTTTTCACCACGAGACTAAAATGGGCGAAAAACGATGATTCTAACTTAAAGTCCTAATTCGATAGACTTCTAACTCATTTTTATTAACTATGTAGTATACAACTTCAGTCGTGTTCAAAATAGTACGGATAGATTTAAATTTTCTGAATGCGGAGAATAGGGGGAAAATTGATGCTTAAAAGTTGCAAAAATACCGGGAAATATCAGACGGACAGACGAACAGACTGTCGGACAAACGAACAGACAGACGGACCACAGAATGGACGAAAGGACAATCGGACGGACGGAAGGACAACCGGACTGTCTGGACTCTCGACTCAGCTGTTGATGGTCAGCACCAAGAATATACACTACACAATTGGGGTTAGAGACGCTTCCTTCTGCCTGTTACATACATTTTCACCCATTTTCAATAGGTTCAGGTTTAATACAAATTCGATAATTATGGGTCTGGTTTTCCACATAAGTAAGGCCTGCAACAAAATGTAAACTTGTGTAAAGCTTTTATTGGTCGGGATATGTGCCTTCCGGTGTACTTCCGGCTACGTGATAAAATGCGAAAATCCTCTGCAAGAATTTGAAAGCCAAAAATAGTGTTTAACTATAAAATAAAGGACGAGAAAGAAAAGTCAGTGCTTTAGTAAGTACCATAATTACATAACTGCACACACGCACTCGGCCACACACGCACACAATGATAATATTGCGGTTGCCTATAAGTATGCAGCACTTTCAGTCGGTGTAGGGGAAAAAGCAACTGTGTTGGTGGGCTACGGGACGGGCGTGAAATGTGGGATTGTGGGAG